TCCTGTATGACAGTGGCTTGCATATACACCAACAGCTTGTAGCCCTTCAGCTGATAAATTGAGATGTGTGTTAATGAATTTGATGGGTCATCTTAAGATTCAACACATGTTCTGCTGCAGACACGCTCACTTTCACACGGAAACTTTCTTGAGGAGAACAAACCAAAATGAAACGGATAAAACCTGGCCAAAGCAGTTCCTTTTCAAAGTGAAGCATGTAATCCACAGAGTTCACCACACCTTAATGAAGAACGTCAGGTTGAGAAACCTAAGTGAGTTCAGCTTTGTTTCCAAAATAATGCTCTTTCCCTTTAATCAGAGAGATGTAAAACAGGTTGAGCTCTGCAAACTCAGCCTAGAAACATTCTCATTGCATACAACACAGAGATGAATCACCACCATGGCAGATTTTAGTTCTTGTAAGAATTGCTTTGCAAGACTGGAGCTAGAACTGCAGGGTTTGTGTTTCTTTCCCTTGGTGGTATGAAGAATAACAGAGCAAAGTATTAGTCTGTCACATTTTCTTCCCCCCTTCCCTGTTTCTTTTGAGTTAAAACTATCCTTCCTGAAATTTCTTCCACAATTCACTGCAGTGTCTGATGTGTTAAAACAATCAGTCAGCAAGAACATGTAGATAGATGATCGTTGGTGTCTGCAAGCTGGCAATAAACATTTGTTTTTCTTTCCAGTGCTAGTTGTCTATTTAGCTTCAAGCCAGGAGGAAAATTTGAGAAAGTATGTTAGTATCGATTAGACTAGGAGAAGCACTTCTGAACTCTCTGGGGCTGCTGTCAGAAAATGTAGCCCAAAGAGAAAGACTCAGTAGTTCATGTGATCAAGAAAAATGTGAGAACATAATTGTGAATGTTTTCCCGTGTTTTGAACCACACACACCAGAAACACAGAATTTGTATTTGTCATGGGGGAAGAAGATTCACATGCTGTTTTCAAGGCATGACAGCTGTTTTCTGAAGGCACCATTTGGAGCACGAAACACAGCAGGCTAAGGAATGACTAGATCTGGTGGTTCAAAATTTTGGCTCAATTGACTGCTGAGCAAGGAAGTTTATTTCCTCATGTGTGAAGCGCAAACAGTGTTTACACTTTTGCAAACTGGAAAACACGTGAGGGAGTAAAATCAGGAAGGCAGTAAACTGGAGGCAGTCTTCGTCCTGGATCTCTAATTCTAAGTTCATCAGCTTCCCTATGGCTGCAGTCAGCAATAGAATATTCAGAACGTGTTTAGATGGTGCAATACAAGAGAGAGTCATGCTGCCTCTAAACTGAGTTAGCTTTAATAGCAGAGTAATAAAGCTGCATTATTATTTTACACTGTCTCAGCTAATTATCTTGCTCATAAACTGCAGTGAGCTCTGTATTGGCATGGGGGGTGGGAGTGGGGGGTGTCTTTCTGATCTCTGAATCAGCTCAGGGGTCTTCTCACACAGCAGGGAGCTTTAGAAGGGCAGGCACTTATTTTCATTTTCCAGTAGTCACATATAACTTCATTTACTGTGAGTAGTCCAGACACTCAAATCATTGCTGATTGGTGTACAAACCACTGCAAACAGAAGAACTGTCCTTGCTCTGCTTGAGATGGGTGTGAAACTGTGGGTTCCTTTTGCCTGTTTGGGGTACCAAGGCCTTATTTTAAGACAAAATTGCTCAGAAAATTGCCAGCTAGACAGAGTTTTCAAGAGCAGACAGTGTGTAGCTTCCTACAAACCCTTTTGTAGTGTTCATTGGTGGTGAGTCAGCTGATAGAGGAGCTGAAAAAGGCAGAAATAGGACTGGCACACAAGTAAGTGTTAGAGGATCCTGCTGGTATTCAAGGACTTTCTTGCATAAACTTGCATTTCTTTTATCATAAGCACATTTTAACTCTTAAGCAGCCAAAACATCACTGCCACTTTGGGGGTGCTGAGAAAACACATCTCTCAAATTGCTAAATGTTTTCACAGACTCAGCTTGATATCCTGTAACCTTCTGCTCCCCATTTCTATTTTTGATTTGATGACAGGTGGACTAGATCCTTTCAGCTCTCAACTGCGCTCTCTCTAGAGTCAAGTGTACTTTGAGTTGGTGTTGCACCTGTGATGATTCTTTGGCCTGGATTTCACATTTTTAAGAAAAAGCTTTGCAGTTAGAACAATTTATTTATGCTTTTGCTTTATGTTAAAGCAACAAAACAAAACCAAAAAACCCACAGCATTGGTAGATAAGAAACTATTTGGACCAGATTAGCCATTTGCTTGTCAGTGTTTTCTGACCAATTTAATTCCTCTAATTCTGACATTTTTTAAGGAATTGTAAGTCTTAGTTCTATTGATAAAGGCACTAAGCTACTCTAGTGCTTCTGACTGTCACAAGGAAAATTAAACTTCTCAGATATAGAAATAGTTGCAATTATTCCTACACAAAGCTTTTGCTACCTTTTACCCTTAAAAGGTAAGGTGTTTCCACACTGTTGTCTTAGACTACTGAAATTTGCTGCTTTTTGTAAAGGACAGATGAAGTCAAGGTACTGTTCCTCAAAAAAACCCTGTAGAGACTCTTCCATGCAATCCTATTGCCTTACTTGGAACTGTGTTTCGGTTTTCTTTCAAAGTTGAGTTCATTTTATTTCTCTTTTGTAGAAGTAAGAGTCACAAAATTGGCTGTGAGGTGATTAAGAAATGCCTCCTAAAGATGTAAGCACTCTGCAACAAGCATGTCTCTTCTTGCCATACAGCCAGTGCCTGTTGGGTTGGGCGTGCACCCAATCTGCTTTCATACAGTCACAGCATTTGTAATACTACTTCAGGAAAAACACCTGGGCGAGCCCAGTGGAGGAGGGAGACAGTGGCATGGGCAAGGTGCCACCGCACACGGCTGTGGCCACCAGGCACCGCTCCCTGAGCCCCCAGCCCAGGCGATGCTCCCATGGCCAGGGGATGGTGCTCTGCTCTGCCAAGGCCGAGCTTTGGCGGACTGTCTGCTGCCCACAGCAGTGGGGGTGGCAGCAGGTGAGATGACACCCCCAGTGTCATGGTGCCTCAGCACTTCCCAGGTGGGCAGCTGCGCTCTGAGTCTGGTCTGGGAAAGGACACCCCTTTGCCCAGGAGTTATGCACCCAACCACAACCAGCTGTGCACCTAGCAAAAAACATCACCTCTAGATGTCCTTGCCATTTCACCCTTCTGCCAGAAGTTATAACTCTTGTATCCAAGCACAATGAGGTCACCACTGCTGAGCAACTTCTCTCATGGCTAGGTGCATCTTTTTTTTGCTGGTTGAGAGGGATGGCAGAGAGGCTGGGAGCAGTAGCATCCTCAACAGGATAAACTGGGCTGTGGCAGTATGAGAAATTCCTCTTTCTGGTTGTTTCCTTTAATATTCTGCCTGAGGTCCTGCCCTCCTGCCTGCGCCTCCACATTGCATATTCTGCCTCCAAGCCTCCTGTAAACTTGCCCAGAGGAGAGTTAGGCTAAAGTACTGGGGTAGAATATCAGACGTAGGCGCATCTTTTCTATCCCTTTCAGTCTTCTCAGGCAGCTGTCTGTTTACAGGAAAAATAATACATTGAAAAGCCCTATAAGCAGACAGAAACTTTTTGGCATAAGGAAAAAAAAGGACATGAGATAAAACTCAAAATACAGTGCTAAATAGCTAGAATGGAGCAGAAATCATAAAGCAGGGGGGGATGGTGTAGAGCAAACAATAAAGGGAAATTGGTTTTGATGGGCTGATGGGAGGAAAAGTAGAGCTGGAAAATCCTGATCCATTTTCCTAGTCTAATGGAAGAGGTGGTGTGGGGCCTGGGGGCAGACAGGTTGAGCACCAAGGTGTCAGTTACCAGGGACAGGATGGTGGCTTTCATGCCTACCCAACAGTGGCCAGGGGGAATGTAGGACACTTTGCACTTTATTATTTGCATGCTTGAAGCAAACAAATTGGCAGGTTACCGGGAAAAATCTTAACTCGGTTCCAGTGGGAACTTTTACTGAACAATGTGCACTGCAGTTCAGTTGAGATGTAATTATCATGAAGGCTGTTTGGGCTGTGATATTTTTTCAGCTCTGCTGCTGTAAATATTTGGTTAGAAGCTGACACCTAGCAAACGCATTGTTTGTAGGCGAAGGGTTGAAGTCTGTAGTCTAGCAGAATTTTACTGCCTTTTCCATCTACATACACAATTCTAAAAGTGTCAAAGTGGGCTTTTTACATCCAGAAGAGGAGACATTTTCATCTCTTTGAGCAGTAGTTGCCCCTCAAGACTTAAAATACTGAATAAATAATGTTTTTTTCTTCCAGTTGTTATGCCAACACAATATGCTTTACTCCGACATGTTATAACCTAAAGTTACGTAATTTGAAAATGAAACTCTTAATATCCTGAACAAGCTTTTCAAAATGAAATAGTTCTGGTCTTGGATCAAAAGCAGAAGTAAAATTTCCCTAGAAAACATTTTAAATCTTTAGTACCATTTAGAACACAGAGCTAAACAAAGGCTGAAAAAGCAGAAACCAGTGGATTTTGACATTTATGGACTATTATCATATCTTTAAATTTGCATGAGAGAATGGTAGTGCTTTTATAAACACTTTTTAAAAAAGGAATAATTTAATTAGTTTCAGGAACAGCCTAATTCTCCTTGCCCAAGCATAATGCTGTCACTGAGGTAGTGACATCTGTTATTGAAGGAGAGTGTCCATTCTTACATCTTTACATTGATTTTTATCTCAATTGTTAAATCTAAATAAGAAGCTTGCATGCAAGCCTCATTGTATTCTGTACAAGAGGTTAAGACTGGCGTTTTTATGCATTCTGCACTTAGTGAACAATTTCTTGTGGAACTAAAAAGTTCATCTGTGAGAGGAGAAAAAGCTCTTGTGCTTTTCTTCTTGGGAGCTGACCTTCTTATCACATTTGTTTAAAATTAGCCTTTCATTATAATCCAGAGAAAAACACTACAAGGGATTTTTTATTCCTCTCTAATATATCTTTCTTCTGATTTCAGCCTGGGGAAGGGCTGCTGCTGCTACATACCTGGTCGGCTTTCTACTTCTAGTCATCTGTTTTGCTCTGGCCATCATAGCATTTGCCATTGACACACTTCGATTCAACTTCATACGTGGGATTGGAGGCTTGCTTTTCGTCGCTGGTAAGGCAGTAGATAAAGTCAAGTTTAGCTTGTGCAGGTGTATCAGTATTAGAACTGGTATTTCCCTCAGCTGATTTTATACCCAAAGTCTTTGGCTATGTGCACTTGAACTCTTTGTGAAAAATAATATAAAGTCAGTGGGTTGATTTTTAAATCCTCCAAAACATAGGTGGGTTTAGCTACAGGTATTATCAAGGCAAGCAATGTGATGCGTGTTAGTTTACACTCTTTTTTTTTTTTTTTTTCTTGTTTCTTCAGCTGTGTTCTCCATCATGGGCCTGGTCATTTATCCAGTAAAGTTCTCAACTGAAATTGAAATGACGGGAATCAATATGTTCAGCTGGGCCTATGGCTTTGGCTGGACCACAGCCATTATGGAAATATGCTTGGGATTCTTCTTCTGCTGCCTTCCTAACTATGAAGATCAGATCTTGGGTAATGTGAAGCCCACATATTTTTACTCTTCCCCATAAGCACCAGGAAAAATGTATTTGTATTCCAGAGATATCTGACAGACCAGCTACATTTTCCAGAATATTGTCATTGGATGTTAGTAGAAAAGGCTGGAAACTTTTCAGATGTGTGTAGAAAACCAGTACTGGCATTCTGCAATAAAGTTATCTACTCTATTTTGGACCTTCATATATGTGGTTTGGTTAGATAAAGTCTAAACATTAAAACCCCTTGTATTTCCTCATTCATTCCCATGAGTGGAGTATATGTGGATTCCATTGCATCTGAAATGCATTAATATTTCTAATTAAATTCAGGAAAGCCTTTTAAACTACCAATAAATGAAACAACATATGCCATCTTCCTGAAGGAAAGCAGTTCACAAAAATCCTATTTTGTATCATCTTTAACCTGAAGAAAGAGTTTGCATATTTTTCAAGAAGGCAAATACCTTTATCCACTGACTGCCAAAGTAGTAAATTAGTCAGACAGCACTTCATAGCTTTGCTCCCATTTTTCATACGATCACTTAAGCCATAGGGCAGAATAAGAAAAAGATGAGAGAGAGCCCCCTATCAAAGTCAGCATCTTGACTTTTACCCATCTATGTGGAACGTAAATATTTCTTTCTAAATACTTGTAAGAGTAAGCAAGGACCATCAGTAAGCCCTTAAAAATCCTGGCATGCCGCTGCTGGGGCCAGCACAGAGCGGACAGAAGCAGAGGGAATTTCCAGCCACCCCTGCAACCTACAGACCTGTTTTGAAGAGGCTGCTGGTGTGGCTTTCTTCATGAGCATCTGCCTCTTTTATCTGCTGTATGAAAATCTATAACTTTGAAAAGCTCTGTTATACTGGTCCAGATCTGTTACCCAGCACAGAAGGGTCAGGAAGGACTCAAACAGAGGTATGGTTGCCCTGCACATCAGGAGTTGAGCTGGAGCAGCGTGAGTGTAGGTATCAAACATTTGTTGAAAGGCCCCTTTTTCATTGCTTTGCTGTTCATAAGTATTTTAAAAGCGGAAAGTGTATACTGTCATATGTAATTGTAAAATGCATAAATACCCCTTACTATCTCATTCTAAGGCTTTCATAGAGAAAATCACATCATAAAACACCTGTCAGTGTCTAATACTCCACAGTGCTTGCAAGCCTTGATATACTGCAAGCAATGAAATATACTCAAGACTCTGCTGGTTTCTGTCTTGTTAATCCTAACTTTATAATATTTCATTTCTTCTCTTAAGTTAAAAAAAAAAAGGTAATTTTGGTATGTGGAAGTCTCATCAAGATCCTCAGCTACAAATGATTATTAGTTTGTAATACATCGCAATTTTATAACTATGACGTTATGAGAAGTGCCCTGCCAAATGTTCTTTACTGCAAAGAATGAGAGGTAGAAAATTTTTTTAGTAAAACCTCTGGGTAACTAAAATTAATAAGGTCACAGGACTTAATCTGTCTTAATCTGTTTTTCTGAAGCAGTTAACTCCATTCACTTTTATGGGGTGTCTTCTAACTTTAAATAAACATGAGAGATGTATCAGAAGAGTCTGTGCAACAGGGAATAGTTAAACAAGTGTCTGCAAATACATTAAGATGTTTCCTAGTTGGGAGGAAATTAAAATGCATTAGAGTTGAGAAAGCAGCATGTATAACATGCCTTCCAATTCTTTGTGTAATATTATCTGTTCAGAAAAAAAATTATCATAAATCTTTTCATTATGCTTATTATACCTAATAAATGATGGTATCTATGTATTGTTTCAAAAATGAGTCTTCGCTTTTGTTCTCTACTAAGAGTGGGTAAGTGTGGAAGCCCCCAAAGCCTCCTCTTCTCAGGCACCACCTTGGAGTACCTGGGTATGCTGGCTGGACTTTGAGAGGGGAGAGTAACTTACAAATGTAGCATCACAACAGCTTGTTTTATTCTTCAGTGCTATTCTGGCTGAATCCTGAGGCCTTGTTCACAAGCAGATCAGAATAGTGGACTTGCTCTTTTTGCTTATGGGCTACATGGTGTCAAGTAACAGTGTGCATGATTCTGTGCTATAGTGTGCTACAGGTCATTTTAGCATGGAGGGTAACGCAATCATGCTCACCGATTAGGAAGCCAGTGTGGCCCCACTCAATGTTTTTGCTCCAACAGGCAATCCCTGGGGAAGGAAAAGACAATTTCAGCAACCACTGATTACCGTTTCTTCAAGATTAGCTGGATACTGACCCAACATCTGGAGGTGGGGAAAGGTGCACAAAACAAGGTTTAGGAGTGTGACTCCAACCCTGATGAGAGAGCAGAGCACAATTAAAAAACAAAGGAAATCTCCAGCCATCATACCCCTTCCTCCCTCCTCTCCCTTGCTGCTCTCAGCAGCTTCACCACCTCCTCTCTCCCCTTCTCCTCCTCTTCCTCCTCTTCCTACCTAAGGGCAACAGAGCAGTGTCAGGGCTGGTGGCTGTGGCTCTGTGGGACACAGCCCCAGACCCCATTCCCCACTGCACTTTCCCTTTCCTGGGAGAGAGGAGGAGTGAAGCCCCCTTGCTGACCCCAGCACATCAGTGGGGCCCTAGCCTGGCTCCCTGCCCTAGGCACCCCCAGGGAAGGTCTTTCTTTAAAAAAAGGCAGAGGTCAGGTGGGTATCCAACAAGCAGAAGCATCACAGGGGCTGGAGCTCAAGTGCCTGCCTTTAGGGTAGTTTGCTTCCAGTCATGCCAGGCCGGTTCACCACAAAGCCCTAGAAAAATGCATCCTAAACTGTGCGGCAGAAAATCAGTGAGAAAAAGTATAAAACTGTTTTACAGATCCCAGTGCAGTTTCCTGTGACTGCTGCAACAGGGGAGCATGGCAAAAGCAGCACGCAAAATGCCATTGGTTCTGACAGAAAAGGATACTGAATCCAGAAGTCAAGAATGTGCCTCAACTAGATTATTAACTAACTAGGTTATCAACTAGCTAGGTTATCAACTAAATTGTTAAACTAGTCTACAGATAGGTCAAGTAGGTTATTAACTAGACAGATTATTAGATTAATTTGAGCTAAATCAGCATCAGAAAGTTTGGATTTTCAAGCAAAGGAGAAATCAGAGGAAGAGAAGGCATTCCATTAGTTCTGCACCTCCGTTTGTCAGGGTTATTGCTCAAAGTCTTGCCTATAAGAGAAAAAGGCACTTAACCACTAAGAGCATCACAATAAAAGACTTAAAGTGTCATTGTACCCAATGGCAAAGCTAAGGAGAGATCAAGGAAGAACAGATGTCTGCTAGATTTGGCTTTGGAGAACATTAGATCTCCTAGAACAAGGGAAGTAAACACTTGACTGCCAAAAGCATTGCTGCTGTTCCTGTCAAATTAAGAATTAGGGAAACATCCTGCGACAAGCACATTTTATCTAATTCAACTATGCTGCTGTAAAGCAAAGGAAAAATTGTGCTGAAAACAAGTGGAATGTCAAGCAGCCCTACAGGTACAAACCGAAGCAAAAGAAATAATGAAAACTTTCTACTGGTAAGTTAATATGTTCAATTTAATTCCTGGTATTTCTGCCAGAGCTTGTATAACATGCAGACATCTTCAATTTTCTCTGCAAGTATTTCACTATACATTTTTCAGGCACCTGACATTTGGTCTTAAAATACAGCCTCCTTAATCAATAATTCAAATGCAATCTAGTTTGCAACTGTATTAAAGTTGTGCATATTTTGTTGTATGAACTAATACTATGAGTGAAGTTTTGACCCCACTGACATCACTTACAAAATATTTATTGATTTTTTTGAGGCTGACATTTCATCCTTGAAGCACAAACCCTTTTTTTCACATGTGCTCAGAATCAATAGTACTCTATGGGATGCTCCATTGATTTCAGCAGCTCTGTTTACTTCTGGAGTAGGGCACTGGTCCGTACAAGGTGAGGAACAGAAGTTACAGCAGACAAGATCGTTCCCAGAATAAAGGACAATTCAATGTGTGTAAGATTAGCAGAATCTGGGTCATAATTAAATCACATTTTGTTAGATACACAACATGGTCACAGTAAAAAGATTTATTTCTTTTTGACACATCTCAGTTGTGCAACAGTTATAATTCAGTTTCTCAGAACAATTCCTTGTACATTTCTATATTCAATGTATTTCTGTGTGCTCTGAAGATGAGTAGTTTTAAGGGTAGAATTAAACAGTCAAGTCTGTGATAGGGGAGAATTGGCCTATTTTTACACTGTTGGAAAACGAGAATCAAACCATCTTACTAGAAAGACAGTGAACTGAACAACCAAAGTTACTTCTGAGTCACATTGGAAATTCAAAACTGAGAATTGAAAGACTGCCATGTAGTTAATAATGTGGAAAGACAGACAAAGTCACGTGGATCTTCCTTTGTCTTTTTCCTCACTGACAAAATATTGGCTTTGCTAGAAATTTTGGTTTCAAGAAAAATTGTTACTCTGGTGCAGCTGCATAATAATGTCTAGGTCTAAATATTTTCTGTGAAGTTCTTCAGTGCTAAGTGACAAAAATCTAGAAAAGTACCTGGATAACCTTAAGGTTGCAAATGATTCTGATGGGGTCATCAGAGCTGTTTACATTTATGGCTCCTTAAGTGACTTAATACATTAAGACTCATATGCCGGTCTACACACACTGGCTAGTTCCACAGATGACCTGAATATGAAGTGAGGTTGTAAATTTTTTCAATTTCACTTTTTATTTTTTATTATCAGAGTAAAAATGTTGATGCATCATAGAATTTTGTATGTGACTGCTGGGTGTGAGGAGAATTTACAGGAACAACTTTCAAAATAGTTTTACAGTTCATGATAAATGTGGTGAGAGTAGATCAAACTGTCCTCTCTTGGATAGCTTTTATGATACATCCTTTTACTTGTGCCACTCTTTGCCTAAGCCATCTGTTTTTCTGTAAAAACAGTTTTGTGAAAACCTACTCTAATGATCGTATCATACTAAAAATAAATTATATTAGGTATCCATGGAGAACCCATCATATAGCACTTTAAATAGCCCTTGATTGTTCAAATGCAGTTCTAACAGAGAGAGAGATGTTGCCTGTGGGATTTTTCCACAGAATAGTGTAAATCCAAAAGAAGCATATTACTTTCAACTATTGACTGTAGTCCTGGGTTACATGCCTAGCTCCTTATTTCTTACAAAGTAACTAGTGCTCTAGAGCCTTGTCCTTAGCAAAACATCAAACAGATAAGCAAAATGCAAACAAGAAAAATAGTGAAGGAAAAATAATACATAGAGGCATATACATATATACATACTTTGTATCACCAATCGGTCTACAGTTGACCTCAGTGTGAGTGGAGATAGACCAAAATTATGTAAAACACATTTGAGGTTGCACCGTTATTTACAGTTTCTCATTCTTTTTTTTCTCCTATATAGAAATTTTCTCACCTCACTTCTGTAAAACATTACAGCTTTTTGGTAAGATTTCCCAATTTTGCCACACCCTTTGCCAATAAGCACACCCTTGCTTGCCATGTTCATATCTGAAGCTTTTACGAAGTATTAATACAAACAGGTTTTTATGCCTTAACCCTCCCTCTTCGCTTCTTAAAAACACCAGTCTGAAGTAATAAAATCTTGGTGACATTAGGCAAATTAGAAGAATGGAAAATTTCTCAGGTTGCTTTAGAATTAACCCTCAAAAGAAGAAAGAAACAAGAACAGAGGTTGAAGAGAAAACCCCAGTCTAATGAGAAAAACAGTATCCCAAAATATACTTGCAGTCCGGAGGTTAAAATACAGTTTGGAGTGATTAGTAGCCTAATTATGTTTGCAGCCCCCCCCCCCCCCCATCAACAAATCTGTGCACTGGTTTCTGAGTCCTACAGTATGCAGAAGGAGGGGCTGCCCAGGGAACGCTTTTGTGGGGAGGCCAGAAGGACTCATTTGGCCCTTGTGTGATATGGCTGGTGCCTTTATGGCAGGACCGGATGGCTACCCATCTTAGTGGAAAGTTTCCCTCAGTTTTAGGCTGTGGTCCAAACAAGTTACTGGCAAGTTGAAACTACCATTTTATTCAGCTGAGAGGTTTGTGTGTGTGTGAGCAGATGAAGGTTAGAGACTGGGCAGCTCACAGTGTTTAGCCCAAAAGAGAAAAATATTCTTGTAAAATAAAAAAGATTTACAATCAAGATTTACAGTCAAGATTTACAATCTTCCTTAAGATACTCCCATGCATAATACACAGAAAAGGGAGGGAAGAGTTGCACCTATTTATCTTCATAATTGTTAGGCCTAGCACTTCAACACCAAGAAATACTCTTCGGGTTAGTAACAGGAGGATGAATACAAAAAGCTGAAACTTTACACTTTGCCCTGAGTCACAGCACAGGTGAGGACCTCCTCAGTCACCGAGTGCTGTCCCTGGCTGTCAGAGAAAATTTCTTACCATCTTGTTCATTATCTGATGCCAGCTCTGCTTTGCCATCCATCATATGGAAATAGGAGGCTGATCATCCTCTGAGAGCTGACCTCTGATTTCCATCCAACACATATCACTAGCCAGACAGCAAGACTACCTCTTCCTCTGGCATGGCCTATGGCGGTACCCAGACCTTACCCTGGGGCCACATCGTTGCCTCTGAGCTTTCCTCCAGCACAACTTCTTGTTTCAACTGCAAGAACTTGAATTTTGTCTGATCCATCCCCTGCAACACATCCTTCTCCAAGCAGTGCACTGCCTTCCAGATCTGTGCTCCTGTCCCAACTGCT